CCGGTTTTTGCATTAGGTTTCATTGATTTTCCGGATCAATGGGTTGATTTTCTTCATCAGTGTTAAAAAATTATCACCATTCTCTCTTCAAAGACTGGTTCTGCCCTCCTCACTCTCTTCTCCTTCCGGGTCTCCAATTACTTCTTTAGTGAAGGAAGATCACCACTCAAACCGCAGACTTTCAGTCCTCTTATTATTATCATTGTTTTCCCATAATTATCTTGATTATGATGTTTCTTTGTGTTTTTGGTCTGGGTAATTTATATTGTTCTGTCTTCAAATTTACTGTCTTCAAATTTTTAAAAATAGTTTTAAATCTCTGGTAAACTTCATCTTTTCACATGTTCTGTTTTTCCACTATCTCACAGTGATTTAAAATCCATGTCTTAATGACACAGTTCAGTAATATGTACATTCACTTCTCATGTCTTCTAATTTTTTAGTACATTTCAGACATTGTATATAAGATAACAGTTGAGACTAAAATAAATAGTACTTGCACCCCTGACTCAATGGACATGAATTTGAACAAACTGGAAGACAGTGAAGGGCAGGGGAGCCTGGCATGCAGCAGTCCTTGGGGTCACAGAGAACTGGACGAGACTGAGAGACTGAACAACGACACACCAGCAGCTGAACAGACCAGAAAGTGACGTCGGGCTCAGAGTGCGGGCGCCCTGTCCACCTAAACTGCTGTGGAATTTGGTAAATTTCTTTGTTGGAGCTTTAGTTAGATTTTGATCAACATTGCTTTCAGAAGGCTTTGGAAGAAGGATGAACTTACCGTCCTCTGGCCTTGAAATCTGAGCACTGTGAAGCTCTTAATGATTTCGTTATTGTCTTAGTCAAATTGCCATCTTTCCGAATCACGTGAGGTCTTTTTCTTCTGTATAGGTTAGCCCTCAGATTTTTGAATTGCTGGGAAGTCTTTTTGCACCTTTGGCAATCTCTCTTTGTCATGTTCTCCTAGTTTTTGGAAAACAGTTAATTCAGGATTATCAAGATTTTAAACTTTCATGCCAGACTACACACAGTCAATAAAAGTCTTTTAAAATTTCCTCCAGCTTCTCCTTAATCTCCAAGTACATTGGCGTTTTCTTTCTCATATTGCTCCACCAGAAGCGAAAGAACATTTTGTTATTTTCTTGCTTAGAAAAGAGAAATTAACTTCCAGATTTATGTCTCTGTAGCTTTCTATGCATCTTTAGCTCTCTGATAGGTATGAAAACTATGGTTTTCTAGCTTTGTCCAAATTAAATAACTAACTCATGGTTAGAGTAGAAGCAATAGTCTCTTGTTTCTCCCTAGATCCTAATTGAAAACAGAAGTTCAGGTGCTTTCTCTTATTGGAACCAGGTCCAGTGTGTAAGTACATGAACATGAAATCTACCATCCAAGCAGGAACATTTCTTAGAGTAAAAGGGAATGATAAAAGCAACTAAAATTATGTAACTAGAGTGTTTATTTATTGACTGACAATTTATTTTAATTTTATTGATTAATCCATAAAACAGTTCTATTCAAAACTATTATAAAATTAAATTATTTCTTTTATTGAAACATAGACATATTTTTATAATGGAAAGCAAACCTTTAGCAATTATTATTAACACTGAATATTATATATGAACAATATATTAATTATACATAACAAATTTATTAGTTTACTAATGCATTGGGTATTAATACTTTAAATAAGCATAAGCAGTATAATTGCACATTCTTGGGACCTGTCCATGAAATGATCAATTTCTAAGGCATATCTGTCTCCATACCAAAGTCTTCAGATTGTTCTGATGATTTTTTTTTAAATCTCATATTATTTTGAATTTTTATATAATTTCTCTTAGTTATTCTTCAAAAGTTGAATTTATGATTAATATGATTAAAATTACTGACATTTTCAATGGACTCTTCCATTAACTTTTTTTTTTTTTTAGAAAATTCTCTTTTTAATACAGAGATACTTGGTAAGCCAAAAAATTCTCCTAAATGGAAGATATTCTTAATTCTATTTTTTATATTGAAATGTATACATATTTTGGCCTCTAGGTTTTCTCAATTACTACCTTTCCCTCTTTATTTAGGGGCAAAAATCAAGCAAACAAAAAACCTCATAAATAGAACAACACATAATAAAAGCTCTGATATTAAGATAGTCTGTTAATGATTCTGAGTAAATTTTTCCAAATTCAGATGATGTAAAATCATACGTGCTCTCAATTTTGTTCTCCTGCATTCAGGATATTAATGACTATAGTAGAAGGTCCATCAGAAATGACTTACTATAAATTAAGCTATGCCAAATATCATTAATAAATTCTAAAACTAAATCTTGTAAACTCCCTGAATGGGTGGCATTTACCTTACTCAGTTCCTGTCTTTATGGGCATATTTCTGTCTTCTTCTTTGCAAGTTTTTTATTTTTATTTTTTTTTAAGGAGTGATTTGTGATGCAGTTCACCAAAGCTTCAAAAACTGAAGTTTTCTGACAAAGCTTTGATTTGTTGTTAAGGGTTTAATTTAAAGGGTTTTGTTAAATATCTCTAAATAATGTTCAAAAAGAAACAAAATGTGGAGACATTATTTAGAACTTCATTTTGCCTTTTCATGGGGTTCTCAAGGCAAGAATACTGAAGTGGCTTGCCATTCCCTTCTCCAATACTTTGGTCACCTGATGTGAAGAACTGACTTATTGGAAAAGACCCTGATGCCGGGAAAGATTGAAGGCAGGAGGAGAAGGGAGTGACAGAGGATGAGACGGTTGGATGGCATCACCAACTCGATGGACATGAGTTTGAGCCAGCTCCGTGAGTTGGTGATGGTCAGGGAAGACTGGCGTGTTGCAGTCCATGGGGCTGCAAAGAGTCGGACACAATTGAGCAACTGAACTGTACTGTTTAGAACATATTTGATTTTATCACAGGACACTTAGGTTGATACCTAAAAGAACTCTTTAATGCTCAATTGTCATTTATGCTTGATGATAGAAGTGTCTACTATTATGCCAAAATAACCTTTTATAGCCAATAGTAGTTTCTTCACTGAATTTCACAGCTCAGTATTCTGTGTAATATAGAATATTAAATTTTTGCAAGCACAGCTCTTATTTCCATTGGTAGAACACTGCACCTTGCTGCTGCTGCTGCTGCTAAGTCACTTCAGTCGTGTCCAACTCTGTGCAACCCCATAGATGGTAGCCCACCAGGCTCCCCCATCCATGGGATTCTCCAGGCAAGAACACTGGAGTGGGTTGCCATTTCCTTCAATACATGAAGGTGAAAAGTGAAAGTGAAGTTGCTCAGTTGTGTTCGACTCTTAGCGACCCCATGGACTGCAGCCTACCAGGCTGCTCCCTTCATGGGGTTTTCCAGGCAAGAGTACTGGAGTGGGTTGCCATTGCCTTCTCCGATACCACACCTTACCTGAATGAAATTATGAGTTATGCCTGCATGAAATCCAATTTTAGACACACTGGTGCTTAAAAGGCTTTGTAATTAGGTAAGATTATTTTTACCATAATGCTATTTCCCCCAAATTTGCATTTTTAGTATCATTACCAAAGCAAATAATTTTATATAGTGTTATTTTATCTAATTTTATTTCATAATAAGCTCACAGATTTCACTTTCAATAGAGTGAACTTAAATTTAGATTCTGAAAAGTGAATAGAAATATTGATCATCATTAAAAATAATAACTTTTCTCTTTAAACCATCTAATTTAGAACTTGCATTTTATCTGAATAAAAAGTTACACTTCTTAGAACGCTATTTAAAGATTCCTAATTCCCTGGTGGTTCAGTGGCTAGGACTCGGCACTGCATGTTGCTCATGTAAGCAGACTGAACACGGCATTGCCAGGGGTTGTGTGGTGCAGTCAAAAAAAGAAGAAAAGAAGAAAAAATGTAAATAACTTATTTTCATTCTTTTATGATTTATGCATGCTTTCTTTAATACAAAGATTATGGAATCACAGTGAATTGTACAAGATTATTAAGAGAAAAAGGAAATATAATCCAAGTTGAAACTGTCTTTACTAAGTCAATTTTGAGTAAAGTAAAATCAATCTGGTTACTGAGCAGATCTACTCAGGAAAGTAGGAATTATTTCAAGCCTAAACAAACATCCTCAAACCAAACCAAATAACCAAATTATCTCATTATCTCATTTTTATTTATCTCTTTATTATTTAGTTGCATTAATTTTTTTATCATTTATTAGTGTAGTTGAACTCATTTAACATTTTTCATTGGAATTAAATAAAATGATTGCATCATTGTTCTCTAGTTTGTCCAGATTCAGTCATTTCACCTTTAAAAGGACACATATTTGTGGGTTATTATGTATCTTCCCACTCTTTTTTATAAGTAAAATTAAATAGTTCATACACATTTTTATTTTAGCTAGATTTGAGATCTTCCTGGATTGCTTAGAACAAAATCTTAAATTCAAGGCATCACAGATCATTTTACAACTCTAGTCTTCATAAATATCATCTTTAATAATACACTCAAACCCGACATCTGATGCCACTTAGAAAATGTAGGTGTCTTGCAAATAGATAACTTGTGACGTTGATAGACATATTTTACCTGGAAGTTTTGATTAGCTGTCAATTATTTCCCCAAAGGTAATATATTATCTGCCTCCTCATCATTTTTGAAAATGTAATAGGCTTATAAGCATACTACCATATCAGGAGGAAATTGTTTTATTTAAAAACAAAACAAGACAAGAAAATCATTTCCTTGCCAATAGTTACATTATTTGAAGAACAGTTCTTGATCCACTACTAATTGTGAATCTTTGTTTTATCATTTTCTTTATAAATTGTTAGGGAATCATGAACATATTATTAGCACTGAGAACCCTGTTCCAGCACAATCTAGCTTTTTTCAGGACTTCTTCAAACAAAACATATTGGGCATTCCTAAGAGTCCACCTGTAGAGATATTTTAACTTTGTGTTTTTCTCTTCTTTTTTCCCTCTATTTTCCAGATTATCCAACCTTCTGTAGTATTTCATGCTACCTTTAAAATACAACTGAAACAATTATTGGGCATAATGTAAATTCAGTCGTTGTGATTGTTTGACCTGCAGTATGGAAGGACACACAGAGAGATGATAGATATTTGACTTAGTCATCCTGGTTTATCTGCCCAAACAATCTGTGCTCATGGTTTCTGCTGTGATGAGCACTGACTTTCTATGAGTGTCATGGAGGAGGCAGAGTCCTCTCCTGTGGATCATACCAAGGGGAGGAGAATGCAGGAAGTGAGAAAAGCTACCGTCGCTAGTGGAAATAGTTTTTTTTCTTATCTCACATTCAAATAAAAAAGTGCATCATGCTGCTAGGACATCACATCCTTCTTACAAACCGACTTGACCTGCTCAAGAGACGAAGTCAAACATATGGGCTGTCAGGAGATGCTTGACCTGTCAGTCAACACTCTGAGCATCTTTCAAAGAAAATAACCCTTTTCCAGTTTCTTAAATGAGGAAAATGTGTAGAGCAAATATTGGTTATCAGCTGGCTCAGGTCCTTATTTAACAAACGAAGTGGGCTTTCCAGGAAGGCATAGTCACTGACTTAAGATCACACAGCTCATGGGGCAAAGAGACAGTTAAAACCTGCTTTGCCAAAGCTGGTTCCATCTCCACTATGTAGCCCCCTGCCTAATCCTCCCCCTCGAGAGAACCACACCATCACAGGTCACCTGGTCACAGTTTTATTAAAAGTCAACAATAATAGCGAACGACTTGGATTGCAAGCATACCCACCAACTGGAAAACAGGAGCTCAGCTTGCCTTGCAGAGAGCTGACCTAAGTCGTTCTGACAAACTTTGAGGGGATCTCGAGACAGCATCACCACTGGGGAATGAAAGGAGTCTGAGCCTGGCTTGTGCACTTCACAAATGCATCTGCTTTACCACAGCATCCTTTGAAAAGCGAATCTCAGGCTTCGTTTTATTAGAAAAACTCTTTTAATTGACAGACACAGACAAACACCAAGATCTTTCAATGTATTGTTTCCCTTAAGACCATGACTGACCCAGGGAGTATGTACCTTCTTCACCGTCTTGTTTATGAATATCGGGGTCAGGTTTACTGAGTGAATCATCCAGTTTGCCCACGAAAGCCGAGAACCAAGCTCAAGTGTCAGACTGAAAGCATTTCTTCCCGGCACAGTGGGCAGGGCTCTGGAGGAGAAGTAGGGTTACTGCACAGGGCGGGAAGGAAGAAGCGGTGAGGTATAAATGCCAGGACGGTCTTGGACTCCGGGCCCTGCTTTTAGAGGCTCTGCTCCCCCCTCTGAAGTCAGGCGCCTTCTCTCCTGTCCGGCTCCTGCTGCGCAAACCTGCCTCTCCCACCTCTGTGGTCTGATCAACCCAGTGTGTCCTGCTTCCCAGAGATCGCCCACAGAACTAGAAGAAGTCATCTTCACCCACTATGTGACAAAGATGTTTGTGTTAATTATTACATACACAAAAAGTTTCCTAAAAATATGTGGCATTATAAAAAATGGTATGCGGACAATTAAGTTATAATTTCCACTGAAAGGTGTTTTCATGTTGGTCATACGTGTGGTCTTGAAGTCCAGGGGTGCACTGGGCCTGTCACTCACACACCCACCCTGATCCGTGGGAGACCCCTCTGCAGTCAGCCCTCGGTCAGCTTGCTCGGTCGTGTCGCTAAGTTAGAGCATGCAGAGCGGGAAGAAAATAACCCTCCGTGGAGAATATTTCCAAGCCTAAACTGGATCCATGCTGAAAACTGTATCTGGGATGAAAAATAAATATATGAACCCAAGCTGAACTTGAATTCTAGGCATATGAGATGGTGCTTGCAGGTGGACTCATTTTGCTTAATTTATGAAATTCGAGCCGCTCAGGACTCTGAGATAATTTGGAGTTCACTTTTCTGTTTGAGCCATTTAACCATGAATGATTCCTGCATGGTTACTGGAGGTTGGTGATTACCACCTTAATTTACACCATTGACCTCCAACAAAAGATATTTTTACCTCCTTTGGAAATGCTTCATTATAAGTCTATGCATCTCTGAAAAATAAATAAAATCTGTAGCCGTATTCTCTCTGTGTGTGCGTGCTCAGTCGTGTCTGACTCTGCGACCCCATAGTCTGTAGCCTGCCAGACTCCTCTGTCCTTGGAATTGTCCAGGCAAGAAATACTGGACTGGCTTGCCATTTCCTTCTCCAATTTTCCCTCTATGATACAGCAAATTAATTTTTCCAAATAATGCATGCATGTCATTTTCTGAGAGAATTTGCCAATGATCAATGACCTAGTGATGTAACTGGTTCACTAATTATTGCTAAATCCGCAAGAAATGAAAAGATTCAGGTAAACTTTGGTGTGGCCCCATTATGTAAGTTCATTTCACCTAAATGTTACTTTCATGAATTCATGCCCAGCTGGCAAGGATCTCAGGATGTGGACTTTTTGGATTATTTTTTTGTAAGGCAGTGCTTTCCTTTTTCACTGTAAGGTGTACCAAGAAAAAGAATCGCAATAAGAAACTGAAACAGTCTATACGCCAAGCATGTAAACTGAGGTCGAGAGCTTGAATGCCAAGGCAACTCAGGCTGAAGTCTTTTTTTCTGACAAGATATGTAAGCTCTGAGGCATAGAGATCATTCTGGAAAATTTACCCATTTCTCCACCCAAACAAAATGTTCTGGAGTGAATGTCTCCAAATGGTACCTAGCCTGATGTTACTTGGCCAGGTGACTTATCTAGGAGTCTCGACACCCCCAGGACAGGAGAGGGGGTGGCTTTGCTCCCATTTTGTCGAGCTCATGGGAGCCCAGATGAACGGCCAGCGAGCTAAACCTCGTCAGTTTCTTCTGCTTGGTGTGCGGCAGCATCTACATCACTCTGGACCGATTTCACTTGCATCCGTGAAGATGCAGAACAGCAAGGAGCCGTGTCCCTTTAAGCAAGCCGCACAGAAACTGTCCCCAACCGCGTGGCTGCCACGGCAGACAGTGCTTGCTGCCGAGCCCTCTTTCCTGAAGAGCCCCCCTCAATACTGAGAGACGGGGAACGGCGAAGCCTGGCTGTGCGTCCTCGCGCCAACCGAAGGCATAATCACGAAGCTGGCGGATGGGATGCGGAAATATGCAGCCCTTGGAAATGGATTAAATGCACATACATTTTGTAATGAGTGACTGTAATGAAAGTCAAATGAATTATAATAAAATATGGAGTTTTAAAAAAGAAAACAGCTCACTGCATAATGTTGCTGGGGAAACATGGAACAGTTTTTCACTGCGTGCTATTGTCAAAGTAAATAACTACCCAAGACAAACTTACAAAGTGCTTTTAACTTTAATGTGATGCAGAGAGTCAGTCATTTAATTTGTTAATTAGTATTATGCCAGAAACTATCTATTCAATATGAAGCAAATATGTTTACAATCTTATCTGCCATCTGTTTAATAGATGGGAGAATACTTAGAGCTGGATTCTCAAAGAGGGTTGGTGAAAATTTGTTCCACAATTAGCGCAGCAGATTTTTTAATTCTGGAAGAATTTTGCGTGTGTGGGGAGCACCTCCACCGAGGAGATAGTACATCACTGTGCTGCTGCTGGAGACGGGCGGCTGCCTCTAATGGGCTTCGGCAGATGCTGTACAAATTTAAGGAGTGGGAAAATTTTTTTAAAAGATACCTATGAAGGCTCTGATGTATCTACATAAATATAGCAGCAGCTCGCAGAAGGTAGAACTGGCTTGGCCAAAAAGAATGTTAAGCCCAGATTTAGAGATGAGTAACGTCAGGCTCCGTCTGCTGATGACACACGCTGCTTCTGTGCCCATTTTTCTAAGATTTCACCCAAGCAAACTTCCCGAGCAGCACCGTCGGCACGAAGAGGTTTTCTCAAGGCACTTTTAAACGGCTGCTTAAGAATGCACTTTGAATTATTATTCGAAAGAGATTTGGAAACAGAATTTGTGATAATCAGGTGTCAGTAGAAGTGTGGCTGATTTCGCTCCAGGCGGAGAGCAGCCAGGCTCAGCCCCGGCCCCGCAGCCCTCAGAGAGCTCTGGACCGAGTCTGTTCGCGTCTCCCCGCCGGCTCCTCCCACCGCCAGGCCACTTACGACCGCGGCTCATGTTAACACTCTTCGATGATTTCCTCCAACTCACATTGCACTATTCTTCCTCTTTCATTAAAGATCCAGGTTTTATGACTCTTATCTTTTTTTTTTTTTCATAGCATCAATTATCAGCCAAGTACGTCTTCAAGAATTTGGCTAAATACGTCATTGAGCATTTGTACGTGAACACAGTTCGGAATCATTGTATGCTGACATGCCAATACACCCTGCTTTTGCCTATACTGTGAATTACGGGCAAATCAAAACAAAAACCTGTATTATGACATGTGCTCCTAATTAACTCTTATACTTACTGTTGTTTACTAGCACTGCTAAAATCGGTTCTCTGTTTTCAGCTCCTCTCTTAGTTTCAGAGCAAAGACAGTATCTGTTTCAAAAGCTCATCTTCCTGTGTTTTGGGGCTGTTCCTCTGGAAATTTTGGAAGATGTGTGATCCTTGTGAAAAGGATAACAAATATTATCTAAGAAGAAATCCTGAGGGCGGTTGTACACCCTAACTAATTGTTCTGTTCCATGGCAGTGTATTCCAGCCCCTTCCTTCAGACCGCCTCCACCATGAAGAGGATTTGTGCTCATGATGCGAGCACTCTGCAAGGAGCGAAACCTAGTGAGGATATGTGTCACGAGGAGCTGTTCCAGCATTTACATCACTTTCCCTTCTCAGCTTTTTTTTTTTTATTAATGTGTAGAACTGACCTCGGGAACTCGGGCCCTTGTGGGAGCCCACGCTCTGGGGCTCTGGTGTGTCTGGGTCAGCCACGGCCTGGCTGGCCCCTTGCCTTTCACGTCAAGTCCTAATTTGCTCAAGGGTGACCCCGGGCAGCAGAATGTGTCACTGGGTCTGGAATCCTCTTCTGACAAACTATAGTAGTCTCCCTAAATGTGTTTCTGCACCTCCTGAACCCCTCCATAATGATGATTTAGTCCTGGAGACGTATGGAGCATCAGCAGTGTAGATGCTATTTGTGTAGACACGTCACATACATATGTGTTGCATCCGGCAGCTCCACCGCTCAGGGACCCTATCTTTCAAGTCAAGATGAAGATTTTTGTACAAACACCTCCCCGTCCTGTCCCCCATGTCTTCCCCCCAAAAAGGCGTTTTTGGCTAACAAGGTTTGGCCGAGCAGGTACCTGATTCCTCAGACCCTCTGCACATAATGCAGAAAGTCCGGCAGAGACATTACAGGATCAAACCCGTTGTCACCTCCTCAAACTCAGTTCAGCTGCTCCTGACAGTGTCTCAATAGTATCCTAGTAACCTCTTCTGTGAAGCTTCATCTGGTCTGTATTTGCAAACACGATTAAAAAAAAAAGGGCCTCGTATTCGGGGGGAAAAGTCTGTGTTAAATCTCTCCGCAGAACTGCCAGGAGAGGTACGGGCGCCTCTGCGGGCAAGTGTATTTGCCAACATGCCATATGGGAGTCATGGCTGGGACTTTTTTTTTTCTGGAATAATTAAATGTTGATGGCAGAGTTCAAATGGATCATTAAAATTCAAAAGTGTAAGAAACAGATTTTTTCTTATGTTGTTGAACGCTCCAGAGGGCCAAATAGCTAGCAGAAGTGAGGCGGGCTGCCGTCCTGTGATCAGCACGCGTCGGGATGGGGCTAATTTGATCATAATATAGTCATCTCTGAAGATTACAGCTATTCAATTAAATATTCTAATTAACCTGAAGTATTAGGCAAATGATACTAATTACAAATATTCTCCTGAGATTCACAGCAATGAAAACCCCACTTGCAACCGATACTTCTGGCCAATGTTTCGTAACACAATGTCCTATATCATAGGCTTTCAGAATATTAAAATGCAGTTAATTTGCCTAAACCTCATTTGTTTAATGGCATTAGCATTTTGTTTGAAATTGTAATAAACGTACATCCCGCTTTCAAGTAAAATTTAAAATGAGTGTACTCTTGGGGTAACTTAAGATTCCTGTTTACAGACCTCGCGTTTTATTCAGGGAGCGGAACAGTTTGAGTTTAACTTTCAGCCATTAAACATATTGAAATTGTTTAAAAATGCTAATAATTTGTCTTTTCAAATAAGAAAAAAAAAAAGGATATTTTGCAGTAAGACTTCCTGGCATCGCCCATGTGACCGGGCTCCTGCTGCGAGGTCCCCGGTGGTTGAACCTCCCTTGTTTCCAGGAGAAGAACTGTGGTCTCGGGGAGGGGTCTTCAGGGCGGGCCCTGCCCTCTCCATCTCCAGGCCGCCTCCGCTCCTCCTTACATGACGCTTGCCCCCCGAGGTTGGAGGGCTTCTGCAGAGCCAGCCTTGGAATTGTAACTTGCTGTCATCAGCGTGGACTCTCACTACCACGTCAGCCCCTGCAGGAGGCCCTTCTTCGCCCCTGACCCCCAGCGACACACATCAGAGCCCGCCTCATCCAGAGCAGCAAGGCTCTCTGCGCCTCCAGGGGCCGACAGTGGTCCTGGCTGCCCCACGGCGTGGTGCCCACCCACGGGGGGAGCTCCGACAACATCTCTCGAAGCTTGACCCGTGTTGGTGGACCAGAGGCATGTGTGCTGGGCTCCAGGCTGTGTCCCGGGGCAGCGTGGAATTGGAGTATCTTTTCCGTCCCCCTGCGCAGGAGGTAGAAGCAGAGCCGAGCCCTGGTGTCAGACTGATCTACAGCCCCATCGTGTGCGCACCATCAGGGCAGGAGGGATGGACCACATCACAAACGGGGGACACAGAGGACACTGCTGCCCTGACTGTGCCTGGGGACCGGTTCACATGAGCGAGGTGCTGGGGGTGGGGAAATAACCCTCCACTCTGGTGCTGCATCACCCCCGTGGTGAGCTCAGGATTTACAGTAAAAGCAGAACAAAGCGGAGAAGAGGACGGCAGCACCGAGCCCACAGAGATGCCCGCGCTTTCGCTGGGGCCCTGCCTGCTGGGCTGATGTGGGCCTTGGACCAGCTCCAGCATTTACTC